GTGTTTAGGCTACAGCATAAGAGAGAAAGAGAATGATATTTGGTGCCCCGAAACCGTGAAAATTAGCTTCGTATTTATAGAAAAAATATACGAGGGGTGAGGTACGGAACCCTAGAATTGAAGCGCCGCAAAAAATTAAACCTAGAAATTGCCGTGTCACAACGCAATGTCTGCTGTGTCACGGTATTTTTACCGTGGCGCAGTAATTTCTAGTTTTTATGCATTTTTAAATCTATAATAACTTTTGATCTGTAACTTGGAATAAGGCATATGATATATTGTTGGAAATCTTATTAAGTCAAATTTCCAACACATTTAAAATTAGGTCAAAATCGTTTGTAGATTTTAAGATATGGCTGTTTTAGTGAAAGGGTGTCGATTTTGGGCCGAGTTTAGTGTTTTGCTCATATATTTTTCGTTTTAAATCGAAATTGGACTTATGATATACCGTTAGAAAGCTTATTTCAAGTCCTATCCAACCAAACAATATTTGAATCAAAATTATAGGGTCACCAAATCAGTTAAGCACGGTTTTGTGATGTAGACACGAAAATTGGAAAATAAGTTATGCATGGTTTGGGAAAATGGGCTAATAATTGGGTTGGTTTATGAGATGTATGGGATTGAATATGGATTTAAGCACGCCAAAGATTAAATAATCGATCCGACCAATAATGACGGTGAAAGGTTGTTCATCATCGGGTTTGGTTTTGGGGAGAGATTTTTAGGTGTCTACACCACCAAAGTCGACCCATAGCTGATCTTAAGCTTGAAATAACCGAACCCAAAAATTCTCCATGAGATAAGTCGAAATTGCATGCATGAAAAATCTTAACCTTGAGATCTCTCATGTAGAGCATAATTATTCAAACCATTGCTCCAACTACACTTTCATGTAGAGCATGCAAGCAAAAGTTGTACTAATCATCCACTTGCCATCAAATTGCCACAATTAAAATATGCCAGCACATGCATTTAACAATGTGAAACTACAATTTTTTTTTTAAAGTAAGAAGAAGGACCTTAACCGTACCTCAATCCTCATTTTTTCTTTCTTCAGTATTTGCGGGTTAGACACTTTGAGAGGGATGAAGGGTAAAGGAGACCTACTACCCTTAAAGTGTCCGGATTGAAACTTGAACCCCAACCTTAAAGTTGAAAGTGCAATCTTTCCCACAAGAACTACATTGCTCTGGTAAGCATAGTGGCAATTCAAGGTCAGAGTGAGGTGCTCGACGAAACAAGACCCCCAAATTTAGATATATGTATTTTGTTTTGGTATGCAAAGCATGCAAATATGCAACATTTTTTAAATGAAATTTTACTTTTAGGATAAAGTTGCAATTGTAAGTAGCATTTACCACATTTTACAACTCAACTAAAATATTTCCAAGTTCCAACTAAGGATGACAATTATAAATGGATATACGTAAACCCGATTCACCCGATATAAATAAATGGACGAAAATCCACATTAAATGGGTGGGTGGGTGACGGATAAAATAGACAGTGGCGGAGATAGTGTAGGTCTTGGTAAGGCACGTGCCCCACCTGATTTTTTTTATAAAATAAATTAGTTTAATTTTTTTTTTAAAAAAAATCACATTTAATAAGTATAGGTTTACTCAGCTTCGTCATATGTGTACTGTTTGTAGTTCCCGCCACTTTGTAAGTGCCAGATCCTATCACTTGCCAATTGCCATGCTTTATTATTAATTATTTTTTTAAAAAAAGTTTAAAAGCACTACAATTTTCACATGAGTATGTAAAATATGCGGAGTAATTAATAAAAAAAAATTATTTGTTCAAAGTCTTAACTTCAACACTATAGCACGCTAGCTAGTAGTATGACTATTGGTGTTTTGACTTCACTCCTTCAAGCTCCAACATCAGATTTCCACTAAATTACTAATGAATCACCGTCTTTTTGCACGCTTGTCACACCTCCACCGTTATTTCAGAAATTTTAATTTATCTTGTTTTTAGCTATTCAATCTTATTTTATAATTTAGGATTTCGTTTTTTACAAATTTGTTTTCAACTAAATTATTTCTTTGAATCCTAATGTCAATCCTCACTTAAATGCTTTTGTAAATTGCTAATTTGTTATACTTGCTAAATTGTGAATTGACGAATTGTGATTTGTTGCTTTGTGCTTGTGTTACTTGCTAAATTGAATAATTTATGTTATTTACTTATTTTGGTTCAGAACCAATGATGTGTTATAATTTATAAAAATTATTGTGTTTATATTTAGACTTGAGTAAGTAAAATTGTTGATTTATTTGATAAATCTAGTTTATATTATCTAATAATATTATTAACGTGTGATTATATTGGATGATTGTTATCGATTAGTTTGTATTCGGTGGTGTCATACCATCCTTGAAATCCTAGCTCCGCCATTGAAAACGGGTGGTATATCGGGTCAAATTTGAGTGGGGCTTCGTTCCATCCACTACCCGATTCGTCATCCGTTTATCACCCGATCCGTCATCCATCCAACATAAATTTATTTTTCCAATTGTTTTTTTTACCTTATATACTTTAAAAAAAAAAAGATTTACCTTTTTTTTTCCAATTGTTTTTTTTTTACCTTATATACTCTTTTTTTTTAATTTTTATACCTTATATACTCTTAGTAGTACTTAAATATATTTCTAAAAATTATTAAAATTGATATTATTTTTTTACAAGGGTAACATACTAACATCGATAGTTTTGATTTATTTGTTGAAAATATAGTCATCACTCATAATATTAACCATCAATAACTTTTATGTATATATAAAAAAGAAATTATTATCATCCGCTAAGCATCTGATCCACCTGTTTCACTTGCGGGTGACGGATGGATTGGATGCGAGTGATAAAATTTTGCAGGTGGCATGTGGATCGGTGTAGCGGATGGTGTGAACTGGTGGATGCGAATGGAGCTCCATCCGACCCGAATCTAACCCGTTGTTAATTATACTAGTTTCAACTATCTCTTTTTCTTTAAAATTAATTTTACTAGGTTTATACTATACATAATGGATTATTCTCAAAATCTATTTAGTTAATATTATCCGTGTTTTCAATATTCCCAAAGCAAAGAACATTTGAGTTCCCAAAATCCCATCCAAATACCTCAAATAGCCACACTCCAACAACTTATCTAACTCCTCAAACTTTTGATGGTCTAAATCATGTTTATTTAATTGACCAACATACAATGACATATATATAATCACCTCTCTTATTGTTAAATTACCCGCCTGTTAGACCAAGTAATCGTCCAATTATGCCGGAGTATTATTCTCATCCACTTTATCCCAATAAACGATACATAGATCATGTGTACTATTCTCGTCCACTTTATCCCAACGACCCCTAAACCTCCTTTTGATTTCTTCATACAAACAACGAGGCTTATGATGTAAGTTGCTATGTCCGAGGAATTTTCTACAGACAACATTTATTTAATCAATTAAAAACATCCATTGGTATACCATGATCTGAGCCCAATAAACCTGGATACTAATCAATACAACATACCTAAATGTAAAACACAAGTGTCAAGAGCTTCATCTTAGCACATATCAACCTCTTGTGAACCTTGTCATGGCCAGAACTTCATTCATCTCATTTTCATCTCGTTGTCATGACTAGCGGTGTTTCGATTTTGACTTTTTTTTCTGATCAAGGGTTTGTCGAAATAAGTCCATTCCTAAATGAATCTATGCTATTATAACTCATCCTTGGTTTCCAAGCATGGTGGAAAAATGAGGATTAGTGTCTTTGGTGTTTTTAGCAGGTGAATTAATTACAAGCCCCATGGTGAGCACAAAATTTTTCAGCGCAAATCTTAGAAAGTAACTCTTAGAATTTGCTTAAGGATTGAAGAGTTAAATAATCAAGACTTGCAAAAACACTATAAGCAAACTAGAAGTAATTCAATATAGATTAATGAAATAGTAACAAAGATAAAGCTAATAGACTAAATAAACAATATAAATGAACATAAAGTAAGAAGTCCATTGATCTTGCATATTCTTTACTTTGATTTTGCCTTGTCTAGTTACATTTCTTTTAATTCATCTTGCTATATTTCTTTCCATCTCCATTTTTTTATTCTTGGACGTGTACAAGGTTAATCTTGGCTGCAATTTACATTTGGGTGGATTGTGCTAAATATTGGCCCAACTCCTAAAAAACCCCACTTAAATACTCTCTCCATCTTTTTTTTCTTTTTTTACCTATATAACTTTTCAGGGGATTCTAAAACACGTCTTTAAACGTATAAATTTAAATTTTCATAACCGTTAAAGTTATAAAAACTTAATATTAATAAAATATACAATGAAAGAATTCAATAAGATCTGGCCTAATTATATTATCTTTTATGCATCAATTGAAATTTATAGTCAATGTTTTTTATGTTTGACCAAATATTGAAAATGGGGCAAAAAAAATGCATGCAAGAATTAAGAGAGTAATATTTTAACCAAAGTATTCAACTCAATCACATAATTATTTTTTTTTATTTTTTATTTTTTTTTTCCCATTGTGAGGAGTGGTTCCTAATGTTTTTTTTTCTTACCCTTTTTTTAAAAAAAAAACTCAATCACATAAAATCGTTCTGGTTAAAATGTTACAATTAAAGAAGGAAAAATTCATTTTAATAATCCCAACTTTGACCAATTTACTTTAAATAATCCCAACTATTGATTATTATGCAGTAAACCCAACTTTCACTTGCGTTTTCTTTCTTCAATCCCGTTTACGGATAACTCGAAGAAAAGGTTAAAATTTTTTTTAAACAAAATTATTTGCCACATGTTACATGTTAATTAAAAATAAATATAATTAAATTAAAAAATAAAAAAGGGAAAAAAATACCACCAGCCACTTACGTTGGTGGCCACTCTTTCCCCAGTCAGCCATCCTCCTCCCCCAAACCACCCTCTTTGATCCCCACTGCCACAATTTCGACCTCCCTCCCTAACCCCCACAAGGGGCTGTTTCGAGGGTGGGGGGAGGGAATGGGGGCGGTTTCGACGGTAGTTCTGGTAGTGTAGCAGGGGAGGGTGGTGGTTTTGAAGGTGGGGCTTTAGAGGTGATGCCACTAGTGGTTTGAATTTTGTTTGTTTGTTTGTTTTTTGGATTAATCATGATCTAACACGTGTCGGGTAACTTAAAATAAAAGGTCATTGACTTTTGTCGACCGATTTAGGATTGTTAGAAGAAAGCACAAGTGAAAGTTGAAATAATTGCAAACTAATTGAAAATTGGGATTATTTAAAGTTTGAGAAAAAAAAAAATGGAATACGGAGTACCTTGTAAAGATTAACCATCTCTTTGTGCTCTAAAACCCTACACCCAACTTTCTCCTCTTAAACCCCAAAACCCTTCTTCGAAACTTATTTCATCTTCTCTAACAACAACAAATAAAAATGCGCCCTTTTGTTCACCATGCCTCTAACCAGATTACTTCTTCAGTTTCTGGTACTTCTGCACCTCAACAGGTAACCTGCCCTTCAACTTCATTCCCTTGTTTCGACGAAACCCATGAATTGTTTAATTGATTGTTTCTTGTTATTGTTTGTATTTAATCTTACAGGTTGTTGGAAATACGGGTAATTTATTGCCTAATATAATGCAAATGCAATCGCAAATGGGTTTTGTTAACAACAATGCTAATTACAACCCAAATTTGGGTAATGGTAATGCTCAAATTCCCCCTGGTTTTATGAATGTTCCCAATTTCAATGGTCATTTGGGTAATTCAGCTCAACAAATTCAATCTAATTCTGGGTTTTCACCAAATAGTTTTGGGCAGAATTTGAATGTTTTCGGGTTTCCGGGAAATGGGCAGTTGGGTAATTTGGGTCAAGGAAACCTGAATCAATTGTTTGGGAATAATGGACAGTTTGGGTGGCAAAATCAATTACAAAGTATGAGTCAACTTGGGAATATGCCAATGTTGAATCCTTCTCAAGTTAATGCTTTGACTCAGTTATTAGGTTGTGCTAATCAAGTTGCTCAGGCTATGAATTCGCAAAATGCCGGTTTTATTGGTAACCCTAATCCACAGCTTGGTTTTGGCCATCCTAATGGTGGTTTACAGCAGGCTGGTTTCAGTCAACAGCTGCCTGTAGCTCCTCAGCTGCTGCAGAATGTTTCTGTTCCGCCTTCAAATCCCGCTGTTTCATCTCATCCTCATGGCCAGTCCCCCAATTTTCAGGTATGTATGATTGTGTTTTGTGAACATGGTCGTTTGAATTCCTGTAAAGTGTTTATGCTGTTGCTTTCTTTGTTAATATAGCATTGTCCTAAGTATTTTGTGATTATCATCGCGGAGAATAAGTAAATTTTGTGTTTTGATTCATGAAATCGATGACTTGTTATCATTTTATCCATTAGTGAAGTAATAATTGGGAAGGACTTGAAGTTACGACAGCTTTTGCTCATCCAGTTGAGAATGAAAAACCTTATTAGCCATATTAGGTAGACAATGAGCAAGATTTGCTAGTGTTTCAGGAGCAACCCTATTAAATATAATATCTTCATGATGGCTTATAACCAAATAAGAATAATGTTGCTTATGGTGAATTGGTGATATTGTTATTATTTTTATGTTTAAATTTTGTAAACTTGGTGTTACTCTTTTAGAGCTAGGATATTCCTCTTACGTGCTATGTTGGAGGAGTATATACTCAGTTATAAATTGATATATAATCTTATAGATTTTCCAAATTCCAAGACTTCATATGATTGGAAAAGGGAGGGTAGAAGTTTTTCACTTCACTTTGCGTAACTTGTTTCCCTCTTGAATTCCTTGATACTTTGAGAGTATGGATTTTTCTGAAGAAAACTATCTATGTCTGAGCTCTAGTTTGGAGTCTCAGTCCTTGTCTCCTATCTTAAATGTAAGGAAAGAGAAATAAAAGGCATTTACATGAAGGCGTTCTATGTTATATTCTTACAAGATTTTTGGTTTATAGGAATCTATCATGAAATTGATCAAGTTTCATCCTAGAAAATCATATTGAAAGGGCAATAGATGATGTAGATGAAGTTGTTCTGGTAGTGTTCATGTGAGTTGGTCTTATAGGTTTTAGAGGGTTAATAAGTTTGGGAAGCTTAAATTTGAAGACCAAAGGGAAATAAATATTGGAACACTCTTGATGTTTGTATTCTCTATCATTGGAGTCTTTGGAGACAGAAGAATTTTTTATACTCATATTGAGCCTTCATTCTTTCATTATCGAGACTCTCCCTAATAGTTATTCGTAAAGTTAATTGGGAGCACCTAGGCCTGTATGTACTAGGCCTTGTGCACAAGTGCAAAAGTTTATAGATAAATTCTTGATGTTAGATTACCTTGCATTATGAAGCGAATATGTTATTGAACGAATGTGTGGGTGCTGGGTTTGTCAGTTACTCAGTTGCACACAGGTTATGCTTGCACAGGAGCATTCGTCATCAAGGATGCTCTTGATTCCACCAAATTTTGACTCTGATTATTGGAATCTTTTCCTAACTTTACTCACTTGTATTTAAGGAATTTGCTTAACTGGAAATGACAAGGGGGGGAGTGAAGGGTGGGGAGGAAGGAACGATAACAATATTTTCTTCCAAAAACAATGTTAATTTGAGCTGGCTTATGTATTGTCCGGGCAAAAAGAAATGAAAAAGGAGAACTTAAGTATCTTTACCTCTTACTACACCCTAGCATCTTTTTGATATTTTATACCTCTATCTTTTTCCATTGTGAATTAGAATATACTCTTTCTACTCCATAGTCTTATTCATGAGCTTGATAAAGTTTGTTGAAAGGATGTATTGGCAGCCTGGCAGGGCTTGAATGAAGAAGAAAAGAATACTGTAGAGAACTTGTATCTTCTGGCTAAAGATTTCTATACATGGGAATGAGCTAGTGCAGGCACGTTGCATAAACAATACAAGCTAGGGTGTTTATTTACAAAACAAAAAAAGTGTATTTCTGACTCAAACCAAGTAGTTACCAGGTCTCATATTCATGAGTGTTAACTAATCATTGGAAGGAGTTTTTCAAACTCGTTTCCAATCATGTTTATTCTTATTCTTTTGACTCTCCTAGGTTCCATTCTGTTTAGTTAAATTAGAGAAACAATTTTGAATTTCATTGATTATTGGTTCAAGAAATTAATAAACCACCTCCATCCTTCATACCTTTTCTCTTCCTCGTTTTACTTTTATTAACCTTATCTTTTTACTTCTTATGTGCTAAGAAATCAACATTTATTATGCATAATCATCCTAACATCAAAGCCTCGTGTTCTTCTAGCTCAGCAGCACCACCATTCCATTCCATGGCCTTCCTAATGCACCAATCTTCAGAAAATCAGATCCCCACTAGTTCTTGTCCTAGATCGCCACATCTGTTATCATATCAGGTCTAAAAAGGTCTAATTCCACCATGAGAATTGAAGATTTTTAGCCAATCTTTGTCTGAAAATTCCAGGCTACAACTTGGAGAATTTTGTATGCGAATAATAATTCTCTATTTTCATTTTTTTATTTAAATTTAATTTATTTGTTTTTGTGGCAGATTGAATTTTTGGTGCTTTCTCCCTCTTTTACTCTCTTTTAAGGAGTAATATTAAGAGTTAAATTTATAATAACCATTATGGTATGTATGGAGCCATCTGCATATTTCAAGATTTTGTTAGATCAAGTGGTATTTGGTCATAGCCTACATTTGTTGTCACTTCAATTTTCCTAGCTTGATTGCATTCTTGAGTGCTATTGACTCCACTTGAAGGAATTGACCTTCTTAAAGAGTAACACCTCTGGCCTTTCCAATAAGGCCTGTTAAATATCCCTACTTTGGCTTTCAGCCTTTAGATGAGTGACCGATATAATTTTCTTCGTTTGAACAATAGTATAAGAAGCCACTTTTACCTTTTATTATTAAATTTATTTAGGCCTTAAGAATGATACTCTTTTAAGTGAAATATGCTCCGTTTTGTTTGCATGAAGTTTCCGAATTTCCAAAATACTATTCTTATAGTTTGATATATAATCTTATAGATTTTCCAAATTCTAGGACTTCATATGACTGGAAAAGGGAGGGTGGAAGTTTTTCACATCACTTTGCCTAACTTGTTTCCCTCTTTATTTTTTGAGACTTTGAGAGTATGGAATTTGCTCAAGAAAACTATCTATCTTTGAGCTCTAGCTTGAAGTCTCAGTTTCCTTGTCTCCCCTCTTAAATACAAGGAAAGAAAAATAAAAGGCATTTACATGAAGGTGTTGTATGTTATATTCTTTCCAGATGTTTGGTTTATAGGATTTTATCATGAAAGTGATCAAGTTTCATTCTAGAATATCATATTGAAAGGACTACAGATGGTGTTGATGAAGTTGTTTTTGGTACTATCCTTGTGAGATTGGTCTTAAAGATTTTAGAGCCATTAGAGGTTAATAAGTTTGGGAAGCTTAATTTTGGAGACCAAAGGGAAAGGAATTTTGGAACACTCTTGATATTTGTATTCTCTGTAATTGGAGTCTTAGGAGACTATTTTTTTATTATTTTTTTAATTACTTTTGTTTACTCATATTGAGCCTTCATTCTTTCATCACCGATGCTCTCTCTAATAGCTATTTGCAAAGTTAATTGAAGCGACTTAGGCTTGTATGTACTAGGCTTTATGCACAAGTGCAAAATTCTATAGGTAATTTCTTGCAGTTAGATTAACTTGCATTATGAAGCGAATACGTTATTGAATGAACGTGGTGCTAGGTTTGTCAATTACTCAGTTGCACACAGAGGCTGTGCTTGCACAGGAGCATTTGTCATCATGGATGCTCTTGATTCCTCAAATTTTGACTCTGATTACTGGAACGTTTTCCTAACTTTACTCATCTGTATTTAAGGAATTTGCTTTACTGGTAATGACTGGGAGGAGTGGGGAGGAAGTAACGATAAAAATATTTTCTTCAAAAAATATTGTTGATTTTAACTGGCTTATGTATCCGGGCAAAAAGAAATGAAAAAGGAGAACTATCTTTACCTCGTACTACACCCTAGCATCTTTGATATTTTATATCTCTAACTTTTTCCATTGTGAATTAGAATAGAGTCTTTCTACTCCATGGTCTTAATATTCATGAGCTTGATAAAGTTTGTTGAAAGGATGTACTGGCTGCCTGGCAGGGCTTGAGTAGAGAACTTGTATCTTTTGCCCAAATAATTCTATACTTGGGGAATGAGCTTGTGATTTGAAGGCACGTTGCTAGCTCTCATTGTTCTGGAGAGCTAGCAGCATGCCTTCACAAGTTCTGTTTGGAGATTTTCGTGAAGGCACGTTGCTATTCTAGAATGAAGAACGCTCCACGTTGCTAGCTCTCAATCTCTCATTCTTTCACGTGCCTTCACAAGACAGAAGATTTCTATAATTGAACTTGTGAAGGTTTGACCAACAGAACTTGGAGAGTTTTATTTTCGAATAATAGTTATATACTGTCATCAATATATTTTAATTTAATTTATTTATTTTTTGTGGCGGATTGAATTTTTGGTGCTTTCTCCCTCTTTTACTCTCTAGAAATGAATAAAAATCATTATGGTATGTATGGCACCATCTGCATATTTCAAGATTTTGTTAGATTAAGTGGTATTTGGTCATAGCCTACATTTGTTGTCACTTCAATTTTCCTAGCTTAATTGCATTCTAGAGTGCTATTGACTCCACTTTAAGGAGTTGACTTTCTTGAAGAGTAACACTTCTGGCTTTTCCAATAAGGCCTGTTAAATATCCCTACTATGGCTTTCATCCTTTAGATGAGTGACCGATATAATTTTCTTCATTTGAACAATATTATAAGAAGTCACATTTACCTTCTTTTATTAGTTAAATTTATTTAGGCCTTAAGAATGATTCTCTTTTTATAAGTGAAATATGCTCCAAAATACTATTCTTATTTAGTTTTTCTAATAAGCCACTGGTTGGAAAGACCAATAATCGAAATCAAGTAAGTCACTATTACCTACCAGTTATGTGGTCAGACTTGTTGATCTACGACCACTTCTTTTGCAAAAAAGCTAAACATGAATCTGCTTATCTTATTCCCGATCCTGGCCTACCTGCTTCAGCATTCCTTGCTCAATAGTTTGTTGTACCCAGATAATTGAACAAAGGGTGGAATTCAGAGAGGAAGTAGGATACCATTCAATTTTTAAGCAGTATTAGATCTTGAATGAGTTGCATTCGCTTGATGGTGTGGTATTGTAATTTGTTTCTGTTTGGTGCAGTAGGGCTGATTATGGGTCATTGCAGTGGTTACTTTGAAATAGGTCTATGTTGGAGAGCAAGAGAGGATGTGTTTGTAAAAATGGTTGTTTGTCTCCACATTTTGTAGTATGTTGTAATAGTATAGTGCACTAACCTGAGGGGGTAGAATACTATTGGTATTGGCGTATTGCAATATTATTCTGTTAAAATTAGCTTGGGGAAGAAGACAAAGAGTTGTTAAACAGGAGAGATACAAAGGAATTCGGAAGGCTATATGTAGAGAAGATCAAATGAAGAAAAAATAAGCCAAAAACTGTTAGATTTAATAATTTAAGTGCATCAAATTACTATTCCATTATTATATTGTTCTTATTTGACATATGGGAAGAAACTAAGGAAAAGTGGACACATTTAGTAAAGTGGGGTATTTGGGTAAATAATCACTTAAGTAGTGGATAGGAAGAGTTAGTGGAGGTACATTGGACCCAATTGATGAGGTGTATGGGGATAAAAATGGAGAAAAATACTGGTTTTAAAGGAAAGATTTTAAAAAAGACCAAGCAAACTGCAACTTGAAGTAAATTTAAATGTAAGGTAGAACAACAATTAGAAACAGAGGGAGTATCATGTATTCAGTTTTCCCTTAATTCTCTTCTATCTTCTCCTTTCACTATTTTTATTTCTCTGACATGTTGCATTACTTGCATATGTATTGTGGGATCAGTTGCATAATCTTTCTGTTTTCGTTGGAGAAGTGCATACATCTTCACTCATGACTGTCTTGCATCTGCAAGGTACTTGATATAGTTCTGTAGTAGTTCTGTAGTACTTGATATAGCTCTGTTGCCACCCAGCATGATGTATGCATATTGATCATGCTATGTTGGTTTTGCATCTTGACTAGAATACTAGACACTGGACTGATTTCTGTGATGATTATGCAGGGTAATCATGGTCAAAAACAAGGAATGCATATTCCAAACTCAAATTATCATCAAAATAAGAGTTTTGTAAACCCTAATAGAGAAGCATCTAACTGGAGGTATACTGTATTTATTATGCTATTTTTTTTTTTTTTTTATTTTTATTTTTTTTTTTTTTTGCAATATAATTGCTCTAATTTTGTCTCTAACTTTGAATTCTTACTGCAGAAATCAAAAGTCTCAAGATCGGCAGATGCATAATCCAAAAGGAAAACTAAAGTTTTCTAAGATGAATGAAGGAAAAGGTTTTTAACTTATTCTTGCTTACAAAGCTATGTGGTGTTTTTCCTGTGCTAAACTCAATAGTCATTGTGTTTTGGAGGGTAAAGCCATGTTTGCTGGTAAAATCATCAGCTAGTGGGCTAGCTTGGCTGGATTGATCGGCCTTTTGAAATTGAACCCTTTCTCTCACATGGAAAACATTTTGCTGTAACATAACATCTGGAAGTGTTCGGTGTTACTACCTGAAGCTGGCTGAAGCTTCTTGTGAAGCTGTAGCTCTCTTGCTTTAGAAAAAAAACATCGTCTGATCACTCTAATACAGTTCTTTATATCAGAGCCTATATTGATTATGTTGCAAAAAGATGCCCCAGACTGATTTCATAATTTCACGTGAACAATTGTCTTTGAGTTGCTACTGATATAAGCCTTATTGTGAATATTTGATATTGCTTAGTCTCAGTACCAATTAGTAAATAATTCTTTTTCTCCATTTTTGATGTGTTATGGAATGTAGCAGAATTAAGCCAATGAATAAAATAAAGTTTTCAGAGCATGTAATAGCACATTATGAAATCCTATATATAGCCTGTGTATGCTCTATAAAATCTTAGCATATCTTTAAAGTCTTCTATTTGGGAACGATCTGTTGTCGGTCATGTCATCTTTATAAGAACTTGCTAGCTCAAGAAGGAGAGAGTATTGTTAATTTCTGGCACATAGCTCATGTATGTTAGATATAATCATTAATGAATTAAATGTTGATATCCGAAGTCCTCGTCATCTGGCATAGTTTTATTCCCATAGCTTGTATTTATAACATAGATACCTAGCTTCATGTATTTATAGATATTAAATTAAAGTCAAGATGATGATATAGGATAATAGGACCAATGATGCCAAATGTTTTAATGACTGGTGCAGAAAGTGCAGCAGCAGTAGCAACAACATCAATATATTGTGCTCTTGTAAAGTAGGATCCATAGAAGGTGAGAATATGCAGCTTAGTAGCTCAAATGTTGTATAATTAGAGATAGTTTTTTGAATGTCCCTGAAGTAGAAAAGCTATCACAGTATTCAACCTAAATAAGCAGTATTTTTAGTAAGGTGCCAAAGGTAAAAAGCATTGGTGAATAGAAATAACAAGGAAACATAAAAAGATCATGATAGTGGAATAAGGTAGATTGTTAAAAAACTAAGCTCAAGGAAAACAGAAGACAAGGCCAGACAAGCTATAATTTAGGATCTCCCCTAAAAGCCTAGAAAGCTTAAGAAGTGCCGTTTGGAGATGCCATAAGTAGTTTAAGTCTGAGAAACCTATGCTTCCATGGAATCCTATCTTCCACTTGCTGCAGTAAGTCATCTATGCTTGATCTACATAACCAATGCTTCTATGCCTCTCATCCACAACCTACCTGTGTCACTCAGGCACAGGCATGTAAATTAAGAACCTTTGCATGCCATGGTAAAAATCGAGGTGTCAGATTAGGTCATTAGGTTTTCATACTCATGTCATAATGGTGTCTAAAATGTTCATGTAAACTAAATAAGAGTCAAAGTTACTTTGAATGGAGTGTAATGGTACCCTTCTCCATGTGTTGTAAAATTATTTTTGCTGTGCCTTCTCTTTAGTAAGTCTTTTCTTCTTTTTGATAAACCCCTGTAAGTTTTTCCTTGCTTGGCCATACTTCAATAGCAACTTCTGAATCTCTTCCATCTGCAACTCATGAACTTGTATAGTTGTATGTTTGCTTAACTAATAATGAATGGCTAGCAGTCTAGCAGTAAGTGACTAGAATTTATTATGTATATGATGGATGCCATTGGCTAACCCTCCCTTCAGCAACGATGGTATGAATTTTAGGATCTTAAAACTGCTGTCTTCTATATTATTTCCTCTTAAAAATGCGAAATAGAATCATCTTTCCATGCTTTTAATTCTTATCTGGTCTTAATTATTCTTTCTTATGGCAACATTCTGCTTGCCAATACATGCATGCCTTGGCAAACAGTTTTGTTTCATTGTTTGATTTTCTTTGGTGTAAAATCTGTGGATCTACGGATCTGTATTATAAAATGATGTTCTTCATTTCTTCTGCAAGCAGGCGTTAAAAATGTTGGTTCTGATGATTCTGCAAACCAATCTCAAGGTGGAAAGAAAAGGTACTTGGTTATACAATTGTATATTTTTTATTACATAACAATGAAAAATCAATCTACTCTTTACCACTATAGCTAGAAGCCTAGAACTGTGTAGATTCACTCAGTCTTCTGTTTCTGACAGTGTTGTATCTGCGGTATTTCCTTCTACTTTAACTATAGGTCACTCTCTGTGTTCTACACTGAGAAAGAAATTCAGCAGTGGCGTGAAGAACGCAAGAAAAATTTTCCTTCAAAAGGCAATGTGGAAAAGGTTAGATTACAGTGCCCAGATTTGAATGCTTTCTGTTGATTAGCTTTATCTCACTTCCTCAAGGGTTGGTCTGTTATTTGCAGAAGCTGGCACAAAAGCAAGCAAATGCTGATGCTGCAGATGAAGACGCTAAGTTACGACGTCAGGTATGTTTTTCCTTTTTATTTAAAATTTGACTACTTTTATAGGGTTTGCTTCTATTATTTTCTCATGGATGTGTTGGATATGGATATGGCGTGGTGCAAAAATGTCATTCAATAGTTACTATCTCGAGGATTGTTTCTTTATGACAAATACAAAGTATGTGTTATAGATACTCTTTAAGATGGATGTTATTTCATAAACATAAAAAATTCCTGTTAATCTGGAGAAAAGAAAAAAAATGTCTATCATTGAAATGCTGGAATTGTCTCATGTTTGCAAAGAGGGGCTTCTAACCTCTTGCGCAATGTAGTATTTTTTATTTGGAGGAAGGTCTTCACAAGTTATACTAAGAGAGCATAACTAATGTAGACTGGATTCATATCACCTTGGACTCACTTCTGAGTGATTAAAAAGGAAGTTAACAATGCTTGAACTGTGCTGTGTTTGCAATCTGCAATATTGAATTTGTAGTATTTGTCTGTTTGTACCAGATTCGGGTTGTTCTACTCTAGGGTCTACCATGAAAACTTTGCACATGTTTGGAGGTTTCAAATCAACTGCATTATACTGACAAGCTTTCTGACTACATAATCATTTGATATATAGTTATCTTTGCTTGGGGTCAGCATGTAATTATGACCTCCATGTAGGCGATATTTAATATATTTTCATGTTAATCTGGTCACTGTTACCGTTTACTTGCAGTTTGATTTCTCATTTTCTTTGTTGGCAAATGCAGCAACTAAAGGATGTATTGGCAAAGCAAGTTGAGTTGGGATTTGAAGTTCCAGAAATTCCATCCCACTATCTGATAGATCCGGAGCACCAGTCTCATGGGAGGGACAAATCTAGAAGGCCATTGAACAAGGGACGCTTCCAAAATAATGGGCGATTCCAGAATAGATTCGATAAAGGGGGAAAATATGACAATAAAGATCGATTTACTACAAAGAGAGGCACAGAAGATGATGGTTCATTTAAGAAGCATGATCGATTTGCAAAAAGGCAAAGGGTGGAGAGTGATAATGCACCAAAGGCTCATTTGAGTGTCAAGGAACCTACACTTTTGCAAAAGCTTTTGAGCACTGATATAAAGAAAGATCAGAGTCGTCTATTGCAGGCTTTTCGTTTTATGGTCATCAATTCTTTCTTCAGGGACTGGCCTGAGAAACCTCTTAATTTCCCCAAGGTTATTGTCAAGGAAATTGGAGTTGAGAGCGATGCCATTGAAGATGAGTCTTCCATTCTCGAGGGAGAGCTCAGCAATGATGAGGACCAAGACACTCGTGATGGGAAAGATGGTGAAAATGATGTTGTTGACCCTCAAGAAGAGGGAGAAATCACAGACTAGAAGTATTTTTGTTGTGACATTGTATATTATATGTACTTTTTGTACTCCTGACCACATTTGACAATCTCAATTTAAGGTTTTGTATTTTTGTGTTTGGTTGACCCAAGCTAATATTCAAGGTGAAATAGATATTTGATTATAGTTATAAGCTATAGCTTGTAAATTCAATGGCAGCAACAACAAAGCGTCTGAACTGCCAGCCAATGAGCCGGAGATATCCACAAGCGTCATCTCCAGTTTCTTTCTTGGTCCTTTTAGGTGTTTGTGTTTGTTACCAAAAAAAAAAAAAAAGCGTCACATAATGATTTGGTATTGTAATTATGAATTTGTAATGAGAAACATAAGGAAAATGAACCAAGAGAAGTAAAGGGCATACCAATTATTGGTTTATGCACCCTGATGCAACCTAAGAGCAAATTCAAATAACATGAATAAATACAACAGGCACAAGGCCACAAGGGCTAATACAAAAGACCACAAACTCGTAAAGGATACAAGGCTTGAAACGAAAGAATATGAACCCAAAAAAACAAAGAATAAATAGTTTAAACGCAAAGAACATGTATTAGTCTCCATGTATAAGAAAACATGGTTTGTGGTTTAGGGGCTCTAGATGCTCCGTGAGTACAACATGTGTTAACTACAGGTTTAGATATCTGCAGGTTGCTAGATTGCAGGTTACATGTTGCTATGAAGTCAGCGACTAGATTACCAGAATATATTTCCAAGGAATATTCTAAGAAAATCCAAGTTTGAATGAGTCAAGAGAAGTTCCATAAATATAGAAACCAAAAACTCCAACTAACTATTGGCCAAGAACAAGTCAAAGGATAATGGATAAGAGCATGAAGAATGTGGCATGAACCTGGCAACTAACTCCGATTTTCAAAGAATCATCAAAGAAGCTGTTACAAGACTTCAAAAGGCTCTCCTATTATAAATAGGATGAAAAACCATTGTAAAAAGACAAGATACGAGCCTTAGGCATTATATTAGCAATTGGCAACCAAATTTCAGATTCATTCTAAATCAAAAAACAATCTGCATTGTAACTGTACTTAATTCTCAAACTAGTAGATTGGTGGACTCAACGCCACCCGCAGTTTTTACCCTTATTCCTGGGGTTTTCTGCATCGTCATCTTGTGTCTCTTCTTCCCTTTCCCCTTTATTCCTTTTTTCGTACGTTATTCATCCTCATTCATTGAACCTACACTATCACTTGCATATTTATTAATCTAGTTGTTGTCCTATTGAACCTGGTTGAATCTGGCGGTCAGATTTTGGCCTAAACAACATGATAATGACACGAATGTTGAGAGTGCCAAGAAATTAAAGAATACCCTTAGGATCAGAATATTCCCCTCCTACGATCAATGCTTGCAATGTTATGTCTATCAAAGTTGGCGAACGCTTCTTGTTCTCGTCCACCCCTTTTTTTTTTTTTTTTTTTTTTTTTGAAAAAAAGTCTTAAGTGACACTAAATTTCATTAAACAAAGTCATACGACATCTACAATTGACAATTAATGATAATGAAAACGAATTTAACAAAATCAAACAAGAATTAATCGGGGAAAAGCTAAGAATCCAAATACAAAAATATAACAATTCGGCACATTCTCGATTTGTTGACTCATACAACTTTTGAGTGGATCCGTCGTCGCTTCGCAATTTTGTGAGAAAGTTAATTATTGTGCTGATTTCGTAAACCGAATTCGAGCAATAATCAATCGTAGCCCCGCACAATCGGAGACCAAATTAAACACAAATCTTGTCTTTCGAAGGAGTCTGAAAAACCTTGTCTTTCGAAGAAGATCGAAAAATCCTTGTCTTTTGAAGGAGATATACCCTTTATTTCAAAGGAGACATTATTATTGTAACCTAATAAACAAAAAGCTTAAAAGAAAATAAAGATTGGGGCTTTCCATCGGTGAAATCCGATGGAATCCCCTTCAAAATTTACAATGGAGGCTAGAGTTTAGGAGAGAGAAGAGAGAGAGGAGGCTAAGCTAGGGTTTTTCTTTATTCTTACCAATTACATTTATTCTGAAAACGTGTTTTTTATAAGAGAGAAAGTCGAGAGAAGATAAAGTGATTTTTTAGTAGCACCTTAATATGTGTAATAACGAGTTTGTTCCATTAGTAAATGAGTGTTTGGGGTATTATACTTTTGACAGGATAAAGTCATATGTCCTAATCAAACGAATTACCTAAGTCCTCTAACTAAAGTAGATAGGGAAGTAGGGTCACCATAGGGAAACAAGTCGATTTATTCCTAATTATTTAAAATAATCTAAATTATTAAGTAACCAAATTGTGAAAGGAATTAAAATAGGGAGAATAAAGTAGAAAGAAATCAATTAATAAAAGCCTAGGGAATAGGTTCACCAATAAATAATATTCCAGATAAAATATAATAATCAATTATCAATGCATCAATTAATCAGATCATAAAGGGCTTTCGCTACGTATTACAATCACAGAATTAATCTACCAGTATTAAATCGCATCTCTCGAATCTTGACTTAACCATTTATTATAAATTAACCTGCCTATTGAAACAAAGCCTAAACATCAATTCTCATCTCTCGAATCTCGAATCACGAATCAATATTGCATAACTCATACAATTAAACCGGGCCTAATCTAATTGCATAACATTAAATCAATCAATAGGAATTGAAATTAATCAAGCATTAACAATTAACAATAAGAAATTACCCCTTCATATTATTTATGGATCCCCACAAACACTAGAAATAAAATTACTCACACATAATGAAATCTAAACTAATCAAAACAATTAAACAAAACATGATGAATCAAAGCAATTAAATTACTGAAAATAAAAGAGGAAGAGATCGTTACCAAAATAAACGGAAATAATGAATTGTATAAACCAAGAGTTGTAGAGAGAAAAACATGAGAGAAGTCTAAGCTTAAAACTAAGTAACAGAGAATTTAGCTAATGAAAGAGATAAATGTATCAAAACAAAATTAAACGTATTTATACAAAGCTTAAAAATCCTAATTAGAAACTAAGTGAAATTCGTCGAAAATCATCCTACAAAACACGCGCCCAGTGAGGCACGCCTTTTTCTTCATGAATCCTGACCGGGCGCAAGATAGGGCGAAGGGCAGATCCTTGGTCTTCCAACCCGCCCGGTCGGGCGTGCCTCAAGGCGAGGGCTCACCCAATCGGGCGGTGTCTTGGGCAATGCTTGGAATTCCGTTTGTACTAATAACTCGGCCCAAAGTCTAATCTCCTCTTCGGGGCTTTAATTACTCGGTCCATTGCCGCAACTCTTCTATGTCAAGCCCTTAATCACCGGTTTGAGGCTCTAACCGGCCTTGGGCTATGAAAGATGGTCAATATCCTCTAGTGCTCCAATAATTCCTAGAAAATGCTCTAAATATGCAATTTACTATAAAATCATACCAAAACTACTAAAACACTATAAAGCACATATTAGTAATAAAAGCGGTTCTAAAGAGCCAAAAATACTCCTAATTATGACCAAGGGACGGGGGTAAATTACTATATAAAATAGACATATCAACTTTTATTGTAATATCCCGTATTTTTACACGTATTTTATTTAATATACATACATTTTATACGTATTTTATTTAATATATATATTTTATAAGGGTATTTAAATAACTCTAGCATTTTAATTATGATGTTTTAATTATTTATCCCATGTAAATTGGGAATATTTTACAAAAGGAAAGGTCGTTTAATTATTTAATTAATAGAAGTTGGGGTTTTATTTTAAGAAATTATGATTTTTTAACAAGTTTTAGTAGGGAAGGGATTAGGAAAAACTAAAGGAGGAAAGTTTAGGGTAAAAGGGGAGATAGAGAAGGGGTATAAATATCCCTCTTATGAGGCAATTCAACGTTGCCCAGAGTGGAGAAAACCCAAGGTAAACTTCTCTCCCTTTTCTCTTTATTTTTCTCTTTCTTTTTTTTTTCTTTCTCTCTCCTTCCCTTCCCTTCTTGTCGCGCACAGCACCACCGGCAGCCACCACCACCACCGGTGGGCCGCCGGACACCAGCACCAGCCGGCAGCCACCGGCAGTGGCGCCGACCCCCTGCTGTCGGCAACCCTGTTTTGCCGGAAAAAAAAAGGTTTTCTTTTTTAAAAAAATCAAATCTTTATTACCTAAAACCAATCTATGATATAGTCTAATTATAAATTATGAGTTTGGAGGTTTAAAATTGATGTTTGGTTATTGTAATTGTGTTAATTAATTTTCAGATTTGGTTTTTAATTAAAAAGCCCCAATTTTTGAACCCTAGGTTCTTGATTCATGATTTATTGAAAGATTATGATGCATAATAGAGTAGGCCTTTGTTTTAAGTATTTTAAAACCAAATTACAGCAAGTTTTAATTATAATAAAGTGCTGGAATTTTATGTAGAACACTTGATATTAGGTTTCTTGAAGAAATTTTAATTACCCATTAATTGGGACTTAATTTATGGTGTTTTAAATATAATTTCAGCTTATTTTAATTAAATTATGAAGGGTTTTAAAATAGTATATATTGCTGGAAATTTGTTTAGAGTGGATATTAATACTCTATTATGGATTTAATGTATAGGAGACTTTGAAGTAAGCGATTTCTACTAGTCGTGGCAGTTTTAATAACGTACTCAAGGTACGTACGCGTACTTATCATATCTTGATGATGTAGAATCATGTTAGGTTGATTTCAATCAATTACAAGTAGTATCATGCTAAGGTTTATGTATGGAATTGAGAATTTATGGTGTTTGTGATATTAATACTCTATTATTTAACGTTAATTGTTCTAATTTTTTTTTATATATATACATATATATATATATATATATATATTTATTATTTTTTTTATAAAAAAATAATAATATATAAGGGCCGAATTTTTTTTTTAATTATTTATTTATTTATGGTCCGAAATTTTTTTTTTAGAACACTCGAATTTTTTTTTTTTGTTGTGTGTCGAAAATTATTTTTTTTTATCAGGGCCGAAAATTTTGGCTCTCTTTTTTTTAGGGGGTAAATATGTATTCTTTATTTTTATATATTGCAGGAAGCTAGGATTGAGGTAAGTATTATGTGTTAAAAGCTTTTATTAACATGTTGGTGAGCTTGGGTAGGAGAAAGAAAGGGCATATAGGCTAAGATTTAAATTATTCCCTATGTTCATAATTTTATTTTGAGTGATCAAGCATGTGATTTTACTAGTGTTTGTTGATAAAAGCATGAAAAATGTGTATTATTCTATGTGAACCCTAAAGATTGTATGATTGGACACCGAACTTAATCTCCTACAAGACTGTATTATTTGTTTTATTTTGTTTCTTTAGGGAAGGGAAATCTTTTCTAAGCCTTTCTCTCTACAGGATGCCAATCTTTCCTAGCAAATTTACACAAATGGGATCTCTTGTAAAGAAAAATAATGAACACCCCTATGACTTTGTAGAAAAGATCAGATACTTTTGTTCCTACCTGAGCAATGTCTTACGAGAGAAAGTTTATGACACCCCTGATCGTATTTCGGCAATGATTGTCCATTGTCTTCCAGAGGAGCCCCCTTACATTGCTGTCAAACAGAGATTTTTTGATTTTTACCTTCCAGGAGATGTCCTAAATTACCATAAATACAGAGACTATTATGGCCAGTGGTATCCAGATTATATTTTCTTAACTAAATATCTCGTAAGGGTGGAGAAAGCTCATTGTCAACACTTACACCTTCCCTACCCTGACTACTACTATGATAACCCAGTAGGGAACAATCCTCCTCCTAATCAACAACCAGGAAATTCTGTTTCTTCTTCTTCTTCTTCTTCTTCGTCAGGGGGTGATCAAGCAGAGAATGGAGATCAACAAGAGGGTAATAGTTCACTTATGGACATTTCTGATCCAAATCCACCTCCAACTCCAATAATAATAGACATTTCATCGGATGAGGAGGAAGAAGGGGAGTTTGTACAAGTAGAACCTGAACCTGAGTCACCTGAACTAATGGAAGAGTCAAATGGTTCTAATTTCGATCCTTCAAGCTACAAGAAATCCACCGACAAAAGGGACAACGTTCGAAAGGATTAGATCTTATGACTTTCTTCGACACGAATTCATAGTCTTTATTTTAAAATTATTTGTTATTTCAGTTTTAACTAATAAGTGGCATGATGATAACTTGCTATTTGATACGATTTTAGGGTGTTTTGAACCTAGTTTACTTGATAAAAATTGCGTTTTGGTTCATTTTTTACTCTATTATTATGCAATTTTTGTGTATCCTATGCTTCACGGGTTGTTGGTGTTTTTGTTGAGATTCTAGGTTCAAAAGAACGACCAAATGGAGCCCATGGATACAAAGCCGAGGTTAGAAGCAAGAAGATGGATGAAAGAAGCCAAGGAAAGGAGCATTATAGAAGAAAAGATGAAAAAAGGGGCTTAGAAGACCCTGCACGGCCGTGCCAGACCTTGCACGTCCGTGCAGGAGGTTCCAGAAAGCTTCAGCAAGCTGCCAAGGCCTGCACGGCCGTGCTTAATCTGGCACGTCCGTGCAGAAGAGGGTGCACGGCCGTGCCAGACTTTGCACGTCCGTGCAGGAGTGCTCCAGAAACTCAGAACATTCTGCCAAGGCCTGCACGGACGTGCCAAATTAAGCACGTCCGTGCAGATGTAGCTGCACGTCCGTGCCAATATCTGCACGTCCGTGCGGAACTGCTCGATTCTTAGCAGTACGTTATGCCTCAATTCTGCCCCCTCTGCACGTCCGTGCCAAACTTGGCACGGCCGTGCTTAGTCTTGCACGTCCGTGCCAAATCTGGCACGTCCGTGCAGACCTGCAGTCGAACTCCTTCCTTGTTTTCTCCGTCCTTTTTATTTGGGGGTCATATAAATACCCCTTTTGAGCTCATTTGAGGGGGGTATGCAGTTTTTTAGAGCTTTTCTCTTAGTTTGTAGTCTTAGAACATTAAATTCTCAAATCATTAGTTAGTTCTCAATTATTATCTTGGAATTATTCAAATTCAATCATTGTAGAAGACAAAATCCACCATTGTTGCTCACCTTGAAGCTTCATAGTAACCATTTCTTACTCATCTTTTCTACTTCTCTTTACTTTGTTGTTAATTATTTGCTAGTTCTTGCATGTTTTAGATTGTTAATTAGCTTAATCCTTAGTTTGAATTTGTTCATGAATTGCTTGAAATCTTTAATTGCTTTAACCCCCATGGATTGTGAGTAATCTAAATTCTAGGGTTTGGGCAAAACTCTCAATGTAGTCACTAATTACTTGTTGCATGTGCTAATTTGGTTGTTGTGGGATGTTAATTAGTTGAGCTTAAGTGGTTTAATTGCTTAGTTCTTGTATATGGCCATTGCTAGAACTATTTATCCAAGCTTTCTCAACGAAGGATCGAGAGATGAACTTGAGTTAGCTCCCTTATGCTTGATTGACCCGAAATGCCATGAGAATAGGGATTACCGGTCAAGGGAATGTTTATGTCATCGTGATTATGCTTTAACACTTGTTTTATGCTATGTAACCACGAGAGTAGGTTGTATTCATGATTCAAGTAATCCCTCTAGCTTGAGAGAGTAGTTGGGTGCTTTAGATGACTTCCCCTAATTTATCCCATTAATTTACCTTGATCGTTGCATGCTAATTGTGATTTGTGATGAAGTTGAGTGGTATAACCCAAGCCCTAGATTCCTCTAAATATTGTTAACCTTCTCTTAGCTTTAGTCGAATTGAATTAGAAGAAGTTACTTATAACCAACCCAATTTAGAATTCATTTAGCTTATTTAAACGGTAGTACTCGGTGGTTGATTCAACGCCTCTCTTGGGTTCGACCCTTTCTTACCCTTACTATTGTTAGTGAGACCAAGATAGGAATTATTATCTTTGGTAGGCTCGACGACGGCCTATCAAATTTTGGCGCCGTTGCCGGGGAGGCAAAGTCACATTGAATGTATTATTGTTGAATGAGACTAGATGTGTGTATATGTATAGTAGTTTTCTTACCTTAATTTTTGTTTATGTGTGTTTAACTTGCGATAGTCATTGCTAACGTTTTTCTTAGCTTTGTTTGACTTTGCATGACACGAAAGAGTAAGCAATCACCATTTATTCCCGTTGATCCAGAGCTAAATAGGACTTTGAGAAACGTGAGGAGACTCTTGCAAGGCACACCCGAGTTTTCCATTGTATATTCGGATTCCGATCCGGAAGAGGTTTTTGGAGCTAACGACGAAGATAACATGGGAGAGAATCCTCCTCAACCATTGTTAAGAGACTATGACCACCCCAACGCATTCCAACTTCGGAGTGGCATACGTCTTCCCACTACGGGCAAACAACTTTGAGCTTTCACCTCAACTCATCCGCATGATTCAAAGCGATCAATTTGGGGGTAGTCCTTATGAGTGTCCTTTTGCTCATTTGGACAACTTTCTTGAATTGTGTACAACTATCAAGCAAAACAACATTTCGAAAGAGTTTATTCGGATGCACATGTTTCAATTCTCCCTTCGAGAAAAAGCAAAGCATTGGTTGAGAACGGTTGAAGAGGGATCGTTGAGTACTTGGGATGAGGTGACTAGAGCTTTTCTTGGGAAGTATTGCCCTCCCGAGAAAACCGCTGAATTAAGACGAAAGATCACAAACTTCAACCAAGAGGTTGATGAAACTTTGAGTGAAGCATGGGAGTGGTTCAAAGATTATACTAGAGCATGCCCTCACCACGGTTTCACCTCATGGATCATAGTGCAAAGCTTCTATGATGGTCTTACTCCTACCTCAAGGGCCAACCTTGATTCGGGAGCCGGAGGTAGCCTTAAAAAGCTATCGGTTGACGAGGCCTACAAAATGATTGAGGAAGTGGCTAAGCATTATGCTTATGGAGGTGATAAAAGGCAAGGTCAACCCAAGAAGGGCGGTAAGAATGATATTGAAGAAATAGATCTTATTGCTTCAAAGGTTGATATGTTAGCTCGAAAGCTAGATCAAGTGAACAATGTGCCCGGTAGCTCCTCCCCACAAGTCATGTCTTGTGAGACTTGTGGAGGAAATGACCACTTGGCATCCTATTGCAACACTACAACGGAGCATGTGGCTTCACTTGGTAGGAATGATCCTTACTCCCAAACTTTTAACCAAGGTTGGAAACAACATCCAAATTTTGGGTGGAAACAACCCAATCAAGCTCCCCCTCCTCAAAACAATTACAACCAAGCTCCTCCTTACAATCAACCCCCTCCACAACAACAAGCTCCCTATCGCCACCCCAATCAAAGAGAAAATGTCCAACAAAGACCCCAATACAATCAAGCCCCTCCTCCTCCAAAATCCAACATTGAATCCGTTTTGGAAACCTTCATGACCCAACAAATCAAGATCAATGGGGAAGTTAGTAGCTCAATTCAACAACTCCAAGCACACAACAAGATGATTGAAAGTCAATTATCTCAAATTGCACAACAAGTTGGGTGCACCTCTAACCCCGGTGGTCAATTTCCAAGCACAACGGTAATGAATCCAAAAGAGCAAGCGAAATCAATCACCTTGATTATGGAAGGGGGGTATGAAACTCCAATTATGAGAGAAAATGTTGCCAAAAAGGGATATGAGGGAGATAGTTGGGTAGATGAAAGTGAGTTTGAAAATGAAGTGAGTGAGGAGGCGAGAGGAAGGTCAAAAATGAGTGATGAGGGTGCCTCAAAGAGAGATGAGGGAGAAGTGAAGAGTCAAGCTCCATTGAGAGCATATGAGCCTCATATTCCATTCCCTCATAGAATGATAGAGAAGAAGCTAAATGAGAAACTTTCTAAGTTCCTTGATGAAATGGAAGGACTTCAATCAAACATTCCACTTCTCCATGCTTTGTCTCAAATGCCTACATATGAAAAGTTTTTGAAAAATATTCTTTCTAACAAGAGTGGGCTTGAGGAGAGTGATTCTATCTCTCTTCCAACGGAGATAAGTGCTATTCCTCAAAATGAGCTTCCCGAGAAGTTTGGTGACCCCGGTAATTTTGCTATACCGGTTAAGGTTGGAGATCTTGAATCAACAAATGCTTTGTGTGATCTTGGGGCTAGTGTTAGCCTTATGCCTCTCTCTATGGCAAAAAGATTAAATCTTGGGGAGATTAGCCCCACCAAAATGTCAATCCAACTAGCCGACCGCTCGATTAAAGTCCCATTGGGAGTCTTGAAGGACATCCCAATTCAAGTGGGGAAGGTTCTTGTGCCTTGTGATTTTGTAATCATGGAGATGGATGAGGATTTCAAAATTCCTCTCATATTGGGTAGGCCCTTTTTGAAAACCGCGGGTGTTAATATTGACATGAAACAAGGGCGACTTATCTTACATGTTGGGCATGAAAGAATCTCTTTCTCATTTCCGGAAACGTTGAATGACCCCATGGTTAAACAAGTTCATCGGGTTGATGTTTTGGTTAATATTTTGAAAGAAGACATGGAGGAGTTACAAGATGAATCGACTCATGCTCCGGAGGTGAAAAAGAAAGAGAGGGCCAAGAAGAAAAAGAAAAACAAGATCAAGTTGATAGACAAGATGTTTGGTTGCAATTCTAGTGATGATAGCAATGTGATTATTTTGCCTAAGTAAAATGGCAAGTGTGTGGGAACAATGAGATGGGTAAAAAAGGTGTGCCTTGACCCTCCCTAATTTTGGATAGCGCAATGTCGTCAAGCTAGTGACGTTAATGAAGCGCTTCCGGGAGGAAACCCGAATATTTTTGTAGTGGATTAACTTAAAAAAAAAAAGAAAAGAAAAAAAAAGAAAAAACAAAAGAAAAAAAAAAAAACAGCACAAAGTGCATGTCTTCCAATAACAACCAACAGGAACAAAGGTACCAAGGAGGTTCAAGCGTCGAAGAAGACCCGATCCTTGAGTTAGTCTTCTTTCTCCTTTTTTTTTTTTTTTTTTTTAATTTTTTTATGAGCTTTTATTGCTTAACATTGAGGACAATGTTTATGATAACTTGGGGGGAGTCATTTGCATGCCTTCTTGACATGTTGGTTTGTTTGGTTGCGTTTGTTTTGGTTGTTTCATTTCCCTAATATCCAAGACCCTTAATCCAATTTAGCTTCCTTGAAATCCAAACCTCTTGTCATGTGAATATTAGTGTTCCCTCTCTAGTTAGTAATGTGAATATTTTCGCTTTCTCTTCAAAGAAAAAATGATGAAAAAATTGAAAAATGAAAAAAAAAAAAAAAATTTCCCAAGGTTGAGACTCAAATGACAATGCTTATATGTTTTTCTTGCTTGATTCTTGAGCGATGAGTACTAGTTCTCTTAGAAGGGTGTATGCAAGAGATGGGGTCATTTAGAGGTCTATTAATCTTGATTGCATTAGTGTATATGAAATGAAAGCCAATGAATGCTCAATTGCACACCCATTATAGGATATTGTCTAATTCGCTAAAGTAGGATATGTTTGAATTGAATTGCGGTCCCTTGTGCCCTTAATGTGCCTCCTTTCCTCCCCGAAATGAAACTCTATTAGGGAATTGGTTATATTTGTATCATGTGTAATAAGTGGCATAATAAGTCACATGTTCTTAATAAAAGAAAGAGCCGCTCACAGTTAAAAGAGGCGAGAGCATTGAAAGTTGAAAAAAAAGAAGAAGAAAAGAAGAGCATAGAACAATGAATAAAAAGGGAGACTCTCGAAAATTATCAAAATTTTCTTCTTTAGAGGTCAACTAGTGGATGCCTCCCACACCTTGTTTACATCATTGTTTCTTATGAAATTCCCGAGTTAGAGTGTAGTTAAGAGGCCTTGGGTGTGCATTTTGGTAAGTGGACTAGCATTTTGAGATTTTATAACCGAAAAAGGGCTTGTTGAAACTTTGGAATATCTAGGTGTGCTCTAATGAACTAGTATAAGGTCTAAAGAAGTATCCTAGTGCAATCTTGCTTAGTCCTCCTCTTTACCCCCAACTCATGTGCACATTTGTATGATTGGTAATTCTTGAAAGTCGCTCACTTGTCTTGCTTGTGTCTCATATCTCGATGAGTTGCTTGGGCGAAAAATTGAACTTGTACGATTTTTGGCGATGTGTTGTGGACTGCGTGAGTTGTGGGGCAAACTCATTGGAAACCCTCACGAGATAAAAACTCGTCCTCTAAGGCGACTTAGAGGTTTAAATTGCTTCTCACTTGTGCTAAAAGTGATGATGGTTGTCACCATGCGGATTTGTTTATGTATGCTTCCCCCTTGTTGCCTCTCCTTGGATTGATGATTAGCAATTTGTTTTCCTCCTTTGGTTTGACATTTTTGTTTTGCTCGAGGATGAGCAAAAGCTTAGCTTGGGGGGATTTGATAACTTGCTATTTGATACGATTTTAGGGTGTTTTGAACCTAGTTTACTTGATAAAAATTGCGTTTTGGTTCATTTTTTACTCTATTATTATGCAATTTTTGTGTATCCTATGCTTCACGGGTTGTTGGTGTTTTTGTTGTGATTCTAGGTTCAAAAGAACGACCAAATGGAGCCCATGGATACAAAGCCGAGGTTAGAAGCAAGAAGATGGATGAAAGAAGCCAAGGAAAGGAGCATTATAGAAGAAAAGATGAAAAAAGGGGCTTAGAAGACCCTGCACGGCCGTGCCAGACCTTGCACGTCCGTGCAGGAGGTTCCAGAAAGCTTCAGCAAGCTGCCAAGGCCTGCACGGCCGTGCTTAATCTGGCACGTCCGTGCAGAAGAGGGTGCACGGCCGTGCCAGACTTTGCACGTCCGTGCAGGAGTGCTCCAGAAACTCAGAACATTCTGCCAAGGCCTGCACGGACGTGCCAAATTAAGCACGTCCGTGCAGATGTAGCTGCACGTCCGTGCCAATATCTGCACGTCCGTGCGGAACTGCTCGATTCTTAGCAGTACGTTATGCCTCAATTCTGCCCCCTCTGCACGTCCGTGCCAAACTTGGCACGGCCGTGCTTAGCCTTGCACGTCCGTGCCAAATCTGGCACGTCCGTGCAGACCTGCAGTCGAACTCCTTCCTTGTTTTCTCCGTCCTTTTTATTTGGGGGTCATATAAATACCCCTTTTGAGCTCATTTGAGGGGGGTATGCAGTTTTTTAGAGCTTTTCTCTTAGTTTGTAGTCTTAGAACATTAAATTCTCAAATCATTAGTTAGTTCTCAATTATTATCTTGGAATTATTCAAATTCAATCATTGTAGAAGACAAAATCCACCATTGTTGCTCACCTTGAAGCTTCATAGTAACCATTTCTTACTCATCTTTTCTACTTCTCTTTACTTTGTTGTTAATTATTTGCTAGTTCTTGCATGTTTTAGATTGTTAATTAGCTTAATCCTTAGTTTGAATTTGTTCATGAATTGCTTGAAATCTTTAATTGCTTTAACCCCCATGGATTGTGAGTAATCTAAATTCTAGGGTTTGGGCAAAACTCTCAATGTAGTCACTAATTACTTGTTGCATGTGCTAATTTGGTTGTTGTGGGATGTTAATTAGTTGAGCTTAAGTGGTTTAATTTCTTAGTTCTTGTATATGGCCATTGCTAGAACTATTTATCCAAGCTTTCTCAACGAAGGATCGAGAGATGAACTTGAGTTAGCTCCCTTATGCTTGATTGACCCGAAATGCCATGAGAATAGGGATTACCGGTCAAGGGAATGTTTATGTCATCGTGATTATGCTTTAACACTTGTTTTATGCTATGTAACCACGAGAGTAGGTTGTATTCATGATTCAAGTAATCCCTCTAGCTTGAGAGAGTAGTTGGGTGCTTTAGATGACTTCCCCTAATTTATCCCATTAATTTACCTTGATCGTTGCATGCTAATTGTGATTTGTGATGAAGTTGAGTGGTATAACCCAAGCCCTAGATTCCTATAAATATTGTTAACCTTCTCTTAGCTTTAGTCGAATTGAATTAGAAGAAGTTACTTATAACCAACCCAATTTAGAATTCATTTAGCTTATTTAAACAGTAGTACTCGGTGGTTGATTCAACGCCTCTCTTGGGTTCGACCCTTTCTTACCCTTACTATTGTTAGTGAGACCAAGATAGGAATTATTATCTTTGGTAGGCTCGACGACGGCCTATCACATGACCACATAAGTTACCGGAACACAATTTTTTTTTTATTTTTTTATTTTAGTATCTTCAGTCCATTTTAATTAATAAGACCTTATTTATTTCTTTAATAATTTTTTTTTTATTTTATAAATTCTTTTGCTTTACAAATCTCCCATTTCACACCATTATTCCAGTAATCACCATTCCAAGCAACTTATCTCCAACAAACATTTATAAGCTGTGAACGTTTATGGGAATTTTTTTTTATATGTGTGATGCTTTATTAAATGCATGGTTGGATAGCAACCAATAATTAATTGATAAAGCTACATTAAGGAAATTATTAGCAATCGCTATCCCAAATTGTTAGCTTCAAATTCTCCTGTAATTGTTTAAGGGTCGTTAAGTAATAGACGGGTGTGCGTCTTGGGAGCTAAACCTAACCATTCTAATAGCTATCCTTGTCCTATATTCAGGAGAAACAAAATGGCAGGGGGAAGAAGTTCAGGTAGTGGTGGAAATGATTTGAATGAAGTAGTGAGGCAATTGGCAGCAGTGGCCCAACAATTGGCAAGAAACTCAACTGGTAATGGGGATGCTCAAGGGGAGCTCTTTAAAAAATTGGCACAAAGCAAGCCACCAATCTATCAGGGCGAGCCTGACCCTATTATATTGGAAAACTGGTTAAGGGAATTTGAGAAACTGTTTGGAGCTGTGGGATGCCCTGAAAACTCAAAAGTGAGTTGTGCTACTTACTACTTGAGGGGTGAAGTTGACCTTTGGTGGCAACAAAACGAGGCTACCATTAGAGCATTACCTGGGTTCAACTGGACCAAATTCCAAGAAAAAGTGAGAGACAAGTTTTATCCTGACTTTTTGCAGAAGCAGAAGGCTGAAGAATTTTCAAACCTTAGGATGGACAAGATGACAGTTACGGAATACTACACCAAGTTCATTGAATTATCCCGTTTTGCTGAAGGGTCTGTCTCTACGGAGAAAGCAAGAGCTAGGAAGTTTGAGAGTGGGTTAACTACTGATTTGCAGTTAAAGCTGTGCGGACAGGTATTTGAGACCCTGGATGAAGTATATGGAAGAGCCGCACACCTTTATGCTTTGGAAGAAAAGAAGAATAAAGAGGTAGCTGAAATAGAAGGAAGGGAGAAGAGGGAGGAAGTGAGACAAGTTTATGGAAACCAACAGGAAAACCAGAATGGTTTTAAGAAGCAGAAGTACCACCATAACAATAACTTCCACAACAATAACAACTTCCATGGTAATAACCGTCAAGGGAACCGTAACAACAATGGAGGAGCTAGAAACAATAACCAGGGAAACAACAGGAATGGAAGAGTTTATTTTTGCAAGAGATGCAAGAATAACCACCCTGGAAAGGATTGCGAGGGCAATATGGTCACTTGTCGTTTTTGTAATAAGCCCGGGCATAGAGAATATGAGTGTTTCTCCAAAAATAGTAATGGGAATAGGCAAAACAATAATAATTCAGGGGGAAACCAGAGGAATTTCCAACAGAGCAACAACAACTTTGCTGGGAGCAAGG